TATTTCGTTTAATATGATGCTACTATTCAAACAGCACCAAAACTACATCTCAATCAGTCGAACATGAAAAAAAAAGCGAAGAAAACAAGCAGAATCACACCTAAAACAAAATGCTACAGAAGTGTCCAAAAGCGTTTGGGACAATATGGACAATTTTGTACTCCCTTTACTCCTTCCAAACTAAAATATGTATGAACGTTGTAAAAACTAAACAGAAATGTCAGTTAAATTCAACGAAACATGTTTAAAAGGAAGGTTACTGCACAAATATAAATTATATATACATATATATATATTTAGTTTATATATATATATATATATATATATATATATATATATTTATTAAAGACATTTTTACGTTTAACGTTCTTTTTTATAGATACAAGTATTTAAGTAAATGCTCTGTTTTATAATAAACAGTATTAAATAACATTTACCGGCCTGAATGACCGAGAAATTTTCATAGAAAATATTCGTTCTTTGACAGGATTCGAACCTGCATCCTATATGGAACCGTTATTTACGCTGACGTGCCTTACCGATCGGCTACAAAGAATGAAAATTTCTCGGACATCCATCGCTAGAAAACATAATATATGCATTAAAATCCTGTTCATCCATAGTGCGAGTTTTGATCCTTGTCTGTAGTTTTTCAGTTTATTTGATGCTAAAATGCTAGTACTTACGGATAGACTTCTATCCATCATCAGGCATGTGTTTTTTTTCCTTATAAAATCTATATATGTGTGTGTGTGTATGAGTGTGTGCGTGATTGGGCCTATGTATACATGTTCATGTATTACTGGACTTATGTACACATGTTCGTGTATGTCTGGGCGTAAGTGTATGGGTATATATACGTGGATGTAGATATATATATGTATGCGTAGATATATGGTTAGTTGGGCGAATGTATATGTATATATGCATATGTATATGACTCTGTATATATATTCATATTGGCATATAAGCAATTGCATATATATATATATATATATCAATTTACTTGCATATATATATATATATATATATATATATATATATATATATATATATATATATAATGGCAATAAAGTTACTATACTTATAACAATTACTATACAATAAAGTCACTATACTTATAATAACAATTAAGACAAAGCAATTAATCAACTGTCCAGAAATTT